TCAAGTACTGAAAGGTCACACTAAGGTCTCCCTAAAGCCTTTCCCAGGTGAACAAGTCCCATCCCCTCAGTCTCTTTTCGGGAGAGGTGCTCCAGCCTTCTGATAATCTTCATTGTCTCTTCAGAACCTATTCTACCAGCTCCATGTCTTTCTTGTGTTGTCTCAGTACTTCACAAGGGCAGAGCAGAAGAGGACAATCCCATGTCTCGCTGTGCTGGATGGCCCTCTTTTGATGCAGCCCAGGTACAGGTGGCCTACTGGATCGCACACATACACTGCTGTCTCAAGACAAGCTTCTTGTCTACCAGAACCCCCAAGATTATGAAAATCGCATCTGTATGAATCCAGATTTTGAAACTATAAAGTGCTGTCTCTAGTTCTCCCATAATTGCAAATGCTTACTGGGTCTACTACAAAGCTGAAACTTATTTCAGTATTTATTAACCATCCAACATAAGGCTCTCACAATTGGGCAGTCTGAACACTGTCTCTTTTTCTATGTATGATGTTCACTTGCAGAGTATTCACACCTTCTTCTTCAGAACTCTGAAGACTTAAGACCACCAAGGGTATGAAGGCAGATACTGTGCCCAACTCCAGTGAAAAAAAAACCCTGGAGAGACATTAGAAAAGTCTCTCAATTCAGTATACACTCATCTGATTTATAATCCAAATGTATTTCTTTTGTGTAGGTTAAAAAATGGAAGAAACAGACTTACAGCTGAAAGTTCACATGCACTACTACATTTTAAAATACAGGTCTGAATCTTAAGGGCTCTAAACCCATTTCAGAATGCTGAAGGGCTATACAAATACACATGCACTGAATAACAAATAATAATTCTTAAGATTTATGTTTATAGACCAAAATGAGATTAAAGAAACAACTTATTAGCTAAAAAGAAACCAACAGATTTAAAAGTATACTTTTCTTTGAAAAGACATCCAAGAGACTCCAGGCAATAATGTACAGTGGACTAATTAGAAAAAGAAAGTAGGTTGCTTTACAAAAGTCATACTGTATAACCGGGCCATACAAGAAATGCAAATGGAAGAGCAGATCACTGCAACTTGTTGAGATAGATCTTTAAAGTAAGAGACACACAGATCAAAGCAGGATTATATTCTGTCATAGCATCAGACTAATGCTATACATACTAAGAAAGAAGGGCACTTACACAGAATTTGGTACAGAAATTTTAACACTGTTTCTCAATTAGAAGTAAGATGCAAGAACCATTTTCAAAATGAAGTTTTACAGCTTTTTACCTCCTCGAGGTAAAAGAAAAACTTGAAAAATCTTACTTTACAAGTAAAATAATATATATATATATTTTTTTTTAACAGCGATAAAGTAATTACAGACAAACTACCATATCTTGAGGTATCACTTCAGTCATCAGAGAGCCCAAGCATGATTGTGATCTTTAGTGTATTCCATCCAATTCAGTAGACAAACCCTGTTAGTCTAGAATCACATAATCAGTAAGGCTAGAAAAGACCCTGAATCTAGGTTAACCTATCATACCATCAATCCCTAATTGTCTCATCTACTCTTCTCTTGAACAAGGAACAAGGACGGTGACTCCACCACTTCCTGGGGCAGCCTCTTCAAACCCTTTACTACTCTTCCAAAGAAGAAATTTTTCATAATATCCAACCTATACCTCCCCTCAACTAACTTAAGGCCAGGATGCCATTAACTTTCTCGGCCACATGGTCACATTGCTGGCTCACATTCAGCTGACTGTTGGCTAGAAGTCTCAGATACTGGTACAAGACGCATCACGATTGTAAACACTCATCTTGTTGGGGGACTTCAACCACTCACACATCTCCTGGAAAAGAGCTGTAGGCAATCCAGGAGGCTCTTGGAATGCAGTGAGGATAACTTCTTCAGTCAGGTAACAGATGGCCTCACCAGCGGCCATCACTACTGTACCTGCTGTTCACCAACGCAAATGAACTGATTGGTGACATCAGAATTGGAAGCTACCCGGACTGCAGTGACTGTGGAGCTCATGCTCCTGAGTGATATGAGACAGTCAAAGAGGAAAATTAGGGCACTAAATTTTAGGAAAGCTAATGTCCAGCTCTGGGAAACTGTCTTCATGGGCCAAAGTGCAGAGCAGAGCTAGCAGAGCTAGCAGACCTCAAGAAAGCTTTCCTCAGGGCACAAGAGCTCTCCATTCCAAGGTGCAGAAAGTAGAAAAGGAAGATGACACCAGCATAGCTGAACTGTGACCTGCTTGTCAAAATGAGAGCAAGTGAAAAATGCACACATAATGGAACAGGTACCACTGAAGAGTACAAGGAAGCTGCTAGGTTGTCTAGGGATGGGGTCAGGAAAGCCAAGGCCCAGCAAGGGGTGATAAGAGAAAGAAAGGCTCCCAGAGACAATTAGAAAAGGAAAGTCCAACAGGGTGTACCCCTCTAGTAGTGACACAGACAAGCCAGTATCAACAGACAAGAAGGCTGAGATACTCAACAATTTTTTTTGCCTCCATCTTCTCTGATAACTGCTTGTCATATGGTCAAAAAGGACTCTGAGGTACTGGTGGATGGGAAACCGGACATGCGTCAGCAATGTGCCCTCACAGCCCAGAAAGTCAACCGTATCCCGAGCTGCACCAAAAGAAGCATAGCCAGCAGGTCAAGGGAAGTGAATCTGCCTCTCTGCTCTGTGCTGGTAAGACCTCACCTGGAGTACTGTGTCCAGTCTGGAATCTTCATTGTAAAAGAGACATAGACCTGTTGGAGTGCATCCACTGCAAGGCCACAAAAATGACCCAAAGGATGGAATGTCTTCCCTATGTAGACAGGCTGAAAGAGCTGGGGCTGTTTAACTGGGAGAAAAAAAAGGCTCCACGGAGACCTGAGACCTGACAGTGGTCTTTCCTAAAGGGGAGCTACAGGAAAGAAGGGACAGACTCTTTGGGTCAGTGGTGATAAGACAAAGAGAAATGGTCTCTCAAGCTTAAAGAGGGTAGATTTAAGTTGAATATATGGAAGAAGTCTTTCACAGTGAGAGTGGTGGGGCACTGGAACAGGTTGCTCAGAGATGAGGTGGATGCCCTGTTCCCAGAAACTTTCAAGGCCAGACTGGATGGGGCTCAAAGCAACCTGATCAAGCTGTGGAGGTCCTTGTTCAGTGCAGGAATTGGACTAGGTGACCTATAAAGGTCCCTTCAATTCTCTAAGAATTCTGTGACTGTATGATTTTATTGTCTTTTTTCTCTGTGCAGCTTTCCAGACACTCTGCCTGTACGGGATTGTGCAAACAAAGTGCAGGACCCACCAAAACACCAACTCATGACTGGTCACCAGCTGAATTTAACTCCATTCACCACCACTCCCTGGGCCTGGCCATCCAGTCAGCTGTTACCGAGACTACATCTGAGCAAGCCACAAACTGCCAGCTTCTCCAAAATAAATAAATAAATAAATAAATGCTGGGGGACACAGTGACAAAGGCTTTACTCAAGTCTACGTAGACTACACCCGCAGCCCTTCCCTCATCCACTAGGTGGGTCACCTGGTTACAGAAGGAAATCAGGCTGGTCAAGCAGGACCTGCCTGCCCTTCACAAAACCATGCTGGCTAGGCCTGATACCTTTGTTTGTCCCGCATATGCCACGTGACTGTGCTCAAGCTTTTAAGAATAAAGCAAAATTGTAAATTTCAAATGATTCAACCCAAGAAGGTATTGCTCCACCTTTAAAAGTATGGATGCTCTAAGTCATGATCCACAAGCTTATATTATCTGATCAAACAGAAGAACAAGAGTTTCAGCAAACCACCTAACTAGAACAGGACACATCTAATGTAAAATCAGAATTAAACCTTTCCTTCAGTTATTTTGGAAAGTTAGAATAGAATTTGAAAATTACTATAGCAAATTATTCTTTAAATCGTTTTCAATATACTTTGTTTTGACTTGTATGATTGAAATGCTGAATATTTCAGTGTTACCTGTGTCAGCTATTAAGCAATAACACAAACCAGAGAAAAGACAGAATCAGACACTTCTTGGCTTGAATCTGACTGAATTATCTTTTTACATTCATGTTTAGCTTCCAAAATTACAAGAGACCAAGTTAGTGCTAATTACATTATTATGGCAAAATGACAGCTGCTCATTTAAAGACCAACTTCTATTGAAAATTCAGCTTTGAATGATAGAGTTGATAGTAAAACTAATGTAATCATATATTTCTCTCAGAAGAAGTCTGTAAGCATAAAAGCTTTCAGTGCTTGCTCCCAGAACTTATTAAAAAATTCATCCTGAAGAAAGTTGAGCATACAAATGCGTCCAGGAACACTTACCTTGCTATATCAGCCATTCCCTTCAACAGTGAAATCAGTATGTATACAAGCCATGAGGGAAATTAAAATATTTTCTTTTTTTCACCTAAATTTCTTAAGTGTATGATAATAGACTTGCATGAACAGCAGGTAACTCATAGAAGTTTGATGTGTAACCAAAAATTGTCCACAGAAAATTAAAACAAACAAACAAACATTAAATCATCTCTCTCCTCTACATCATTGCATCAAAAATACTGGATACTAATATGCTTTGTCCTTTCAGCTCACAGGTCACCAACTAATACTTCCTTGTTTCTTCTATTTTTTAAAATGAAATACAATTAGGAAACATGCCAACGTAGCCTATGCTTTAAGTCAACTGAGTGAAATTTATTAGTATTGGGTCTGTTCTAGAAAGGAATCTATACATTTTGTCTTCACTTTCACTGCCAATTTTCATGTCTCTGATACTAAACACTAACAGCTCAAATAGCTAAGAATATTTTTCTTTATTCAACAATATTCCTTTTTGTTGAATCCTCCCCAACATGGCTCAGCCTTTTGATCTCCGTAGTAATTCTCATTCCATTACATGTAGTTGTATATGACTGCTTATAGATTGATTTGGAAAACACCTGTGACAGGCTGAAGTATTTTTTCTTCAAAACTGGTGCTCTGTGCTTATAGCTTACCTCATTGTCTGATTCCACAAGCACTTGATCGTATTCACTAAGAGCTACTAGGAACATGATAGATGTGACATTTTCAAAGCAGTGTATCCATTTTCTTCTTTCTGATCGTTGGCCTCCTACATCCACCATTCTGCAAAATTAACGACCGCATCAACTCCATGAATACCATAAGAGATAAACACACAGCCACATACAAAACAAAAAGGAATTCAGTTGAAAAAAACAGAACTTGGTTTGCTCCTTTTAATAATCTCTCCACTGAGATTAAAGTTTAATGGAATGCATTATAAGTAGCAAGTAACCATATTTGATTTTTACTTTGATGTGATTTCTATATTTAAGTCATTGTGGGTCTCAAAATCTTTAGATTTCTGAGATGCAAAAGTCTCATGATACTGAGCCATGATTCTGGAATGTATACCCTGTATATTTAGCAGAAACACATGTGCACAGAATAGGTGATCTGCCTCTTCCCTTCAAAAATTACAAGTGTCAAAATTTAAAACTTCTCAAAGATTATCTACTTAAGAGTACACATAGAATACAACATGTATTTACTGAATCTGTTAATAGCCAACAGGAAAACTCAAATTTGCTGGCAGTGTATTCCCACTTCATGCCATGTCACAGTGTAGCTCAACCCTTAGGATGTCTAACTTGCAATTGCAAATGCGTAATTATTTTTAAGCAACAGTACTTGCACTCAAATAAGTTTACTTTCTCTTCAGAAGAGTGATTTCTTGCTAATCATCAGCTACACAGGAGGTAATTTTGCATCCCATAATTAACATTAATTAGATACGTGATTATATTTTTAGATTATTACTCAGAACAAAACTTTGTTAATTTTTTTTTAAAAGATTAACTGTAGATTTTTTATCAGTAGTGCCTTCAAAAAAAAAGACTAACCAAATTGTCTTTTACGTTTTTGATATGTTTAAAATCAGCAGCTTAATAATTAACCATAAAAATAAAATAACAAGCTTTACTTTTAAAAGCACAGAATCATTTCTGTAATGCACTTTTAATCAATATCCTATCTGTGGCATAATTAAGGAAATAAGTAAATAAATGACTGCTGAACTTTTTTCCTACCTGAAAATGACGCTTTGTAAGTCAAAGGGATATTCAATGATTCCTGTTGTTGGAACTCGAACTCTAAGCACGTCTTGCTGAGTTGGCAGATAGGTGGAATCTGCTATGCGATCCAAGTCATTAAGATAGCTATAAACAGGGAGAAACAAAAGGAATGCAAGACAGTGACACCATAATTTGACTGAGGAAAAGAGAAGGGAAGATTTGGGAGTAGAAGTCAGCTGCTGGATAGGAAGAAGTGCAACAAAAAAGGAGAATTGTTGACATAAAAAAGGGGACAAAGTATAATGTGCTACACTTGCCCTTCCTGTACACCTCCATAGCTTCAAGTAAATTTGACAAAAACATTCTGTCCTTTTAAAATCTGCTTGGCTTTCACATGCAAAAATCACCAAAGATTCAGATTTTGTTACTCAGTTCTGTGCAATTTATAGATAAAAATAATATAAAATACATAAGAAATATAAAATTGCAGAGTTTTAACTGACAAGATAACCTATTCCTTCCTTTTCAGACTTCAGAATCTACATAGACATACAGATAGTATGAATCTGATATAGTGTATCAGTTCAGTAAGTGTATATGTATGTTTACTAGATACAAAATGAATGAAAGATAAACAGCAATATTTGAAGATAAAGTAAAAAAAAAAAAAATAATGATTACACCAAAAAGAAAAAAATCCACTGACAAATTAAAGAACTCTCCAGAGTTGTCTTGTTACTGGAAGGCAGCAGTAATCCCACGGTGGGACCTCTAGCATCTGAAATTTCTGCAATCACACTGAAGCCTCTAATCAAGTTAATAAGTCTAAGTAACGTACATGGAACACTTCCCAGATAGTCAGCAAGTAATCCAAAACTGCAATAAAACTGCTTGTAAAGCAGTTCATTAATTACAACACGAAACTCTTCTGCTTAATGGTGGCTTTCAATCAGAAAGCAGCAATATACTGGAGGTACGGGAGCTCTCCTAAGAGAGAAGCTTCAAAAAAAAAAGTACTAATGTGTGATGGTGATGGCCTGTTCGGTTATAGGAGCTGGCTATTTCATGAATTGAGTGCACCAGACAGCAGGGATTCTCCCATTACGGGCATCTGGGAGAAAGACTGCTGCAGTAAATGAAGTTCTCGGCGTCTGGTTACTCACAAGAATGATCTAGAGCTAGCCACTGATACAATAAATTAACCTAAGAATGCCCTGATTCTGTATCCTTCTGTAGTGAAGGGCAGCATTGGACTCCTTGATGTAGACATCACTCCTAGTGTTCTTTTCCTCATGGTTACTACTGAGGGAGCTCTTCAAAAATAAAACAAAAACAAAAAAAAAATCCATACTATTTATAGATGCTCTGAATGATCTGTTATTAAATAGAGGAAACAAGTCATCCTGAACAGAAACTTTGTTTCTGAAAGACAGAAACAAAGCAGTTTGAGTTCTGACTTACAGCAAAAGTACTGAAGAACTGATCAGTTAGGTCAGGGAGAGAGACAAAAACATTAACAAATTTTCCTCACCATGATTTTATTCATGAAAGATTAATCTGAAAAAAAAAAATTGAATGTGAGAACGTTACTTGTATTTAGAAAGATGTATTGAACCATGCATCTCATATTATTTATCATATTCATAAGCTGTTACTCCAAAAATATTTTCTCAGAATACTAATTAGTTTCTGCCAATTATAAAGGTTTGAGAACTTGAGGATTTCATCTGCCCTCAGAGGCTTTAACCAAAAAGCACACCATCTACTTGCTGGGGGGGAAAAACATACAAGAAATCCGCAACCACCAGAACAGGAAACTGATGGTGGTCTTGAAACACTGCCTGTCTTCTTTTAACCTTCCACATCCACAATACCAGTTTTGTTACTATTTTTTGAAGGCTCCTGGGAAGCACTGTGAGTCACTACATGCCATAGTTATATTTCTGACAGCAGAAACTGGTAGCTGGCCCATTTATACAGTTACCTTGTTGCACCACTTTGGAAAGCCTCATTCATGGTCTCCAGCCTCAGCCTGGTAACTGTAAGTCAGAACCATGACTGCAGCAGGGATATTACTAAGATATACTGTCACATACATCAGGTTGATTCTAGATTGGCAATAATTTAAAGGGATAATATTAAATAAACATTTGAGCTTCTTGAAGCTATTGAAGTGACACATTACCATTTTTATTTATTTTTTTCCTAACACTGTTGTCATTAAGTTTCACAAGCATTAATTGATTTCACTGTTTCAAAATGGTGAGACAAAACACAGGTGGTATGTAAAGTGCACTCTTTAAAAAAAAAAAAAAAAAAAAAGATAACTGAAATACCGTTGTTATTAAAAAAATATACTACCAGCACACAGAATTTTCATATATCATTACATGAATAGTGGGAACAGCTATTCCTGTAAAATTGAAATTTTTTCATTGCAATTATTTAGTTTATTATAGTTTAGTTCCTTGACACAATAAAGACCTATGTTTTTGAGTCTTATTCATAGCAAGAGGGGTGGAAATTTAAAGCTGTGGCTTAAAGAAACTCTTTGATTAACATGGGAATGGCATAACTGTATGCCTATGCTTTAAACATCTTCAAGCTTATTAAACAATTAAAGAAAACACCAGCCAGCAATTTTAAATAAGAACATCAAAGAACATCACATGTTGGTGAATGCAAATTCTTTTCTATCTACAGCTGTGCAGGCTCAGGCTCCACTCCAGCTGCATCTGTGCCCTGAAGACACTGCCCTTACCCAGTTGCCAGATTTTTCACTTACACAATATCTTTGTAATACATTTCTCTCAAAATTATTTGAACAGTGAAAAAATACTATTAAAACTGTATAAATTAAGCTAGTTTATTTTACGGGGATGTAGAAAGTCCATAACCTCCAGCAGGAAGCCAGGGTGGAGTTACTTCCTCCAGCGGCTTATCTACAGACAAGACATAACTTGTTAAGCCAGAGTTATGAGAAATATCTTAGGAGTGTCTGAATTCAGATAGGTGATGAATAAAGGAAAAGAAGGATTTTATTCTACATTTCCTCATCTGCTTATTACAAGCTTGATTCAATGTGGCTTTGAAGCGCTTACCTAATTTTTGCTGTCCTAAGAAAAATAATGACAAACACCCACGGGCAAAAAAATCCTGCACACTTACAAACAAAACAAAACAAAACAAAAACAAACAAACAAACAAAAACCTACATAAAAAAGTGCACAAGGTATTATAAAAAAATGTAAGAAGTAATTTTTAAAAAGCCCTTAAAAGTTTTACTGCATGCACATATACACAAATTCTGTGATCAGCCTTTCTGATACAAATGACACTTCAGCATGTACTAGAAATTAACGCACGTGCGCTCTTGAATCATGAAACTTGTCATAATTCAGAACTTCCACCAAAAAAGTGCAGACAGCACTTGCCAAAGGGGGATGTTTCCTTAGTTTATTAAATTCAAATTTTAAAACTGATAATGAGATGGATACTGGAAATAGCTGGGCAAATGCTTTGTGACCTAATTCAAAAGCAAGTAACTGGTGTTATGAACTGAAAACTCACTTCTGTGGTGAGCAGCAATTGCACAGAAGTCTGAACTGCATGGCACTCCAAACTGATTTTTGCCACCTGCTAAGAAATGTCCTACTTTGATGAGACATTTTGTAGTTATACGGCCTCTTCACCCAAACAGCACTTTTTCTGGCAAGCATTACTGAAACAAACAAAACCTGCATAAAATTACTTTGAAAATAAGATGTCAAATCACATAGATCTGAATACATCTATAGTGAAGACCTAGTTTTAAAAGTTAATTATACCTGTAATTAGTTTTATAAAAATGAATTTTAGTGTCTGCTGAGGTAATTTTCCAGGAGGTTGCTATAGCAACAGGCACAAGGTGCATTACCAAGGTAATCTGTGTGTAATGAGCAGCTGACAGTAGCTCTCTCTTGACGTCAAGAAAAACTGCTACAGCCTCGTAGCACACTGGTGATCTGCACACTGACCTGAAACAAAGGAAACCTTTTGTTTCCTAGTCAGCATTGAGAGAGAAGTAATTATTTTTAATGCACTTTACATAGCCTATGACAAGGTCCAAATCCACAGCCAGTTTCCAAGAAAGCCAGGCCATGAAGGTGCTGATGATAAGACTTAATGATAAGTGTTTCAAATGTACCTTTTGTGTGTATTACAAAGTAAACAGAAAGAATAGGATAACAGAAGTAGACTGACTTGCTCTGTATTTACTACATGCCCTTCTCATACAGAAAATAGGCAAAGAGGTGTGACTTCTAACTTTATTATTGGTTAAAACTTCTCTGGTGTACATAATCTTTTCCAAGAACTTAAGTACAGGTCTCTTTCACCATACCCCAGTTCAACATCTACCACTTCGGAGAGTTGCACCACATAATGAAAACTGACCATTAAAACCTACTTAATTTATTTTCAATGAATGGAGTCCTGAAACATCTTCAACGTGAAGAAATACAGGGCAAACAAACACTTCAAACAAGCACCTTACTCCAGTCATTCTCCAGCCTGAGATTTTTTTGCAAGTACAACATGATGGTGAAGCATCTTCTCAAAAATAAATCCATAAGGTGAAACTATATTGCTCAAGGCAACAAACACAGAAAAAGCTTCCAGGATTCTCTATATGAATGAATAATAAAGTAGAACATTACATATCTGGCACAGATAACCAAATGAGGGTATTAAATACTGGTGCCGACAACACACTGAGGAATTTAGGAGGAGTTATATTTATTTCTCTGGAATGTTATAAAACACAGCTAGGAAAGAATTGCTAAACAGTCATTCTCTGATATCCTTATACAGCAAACTAAAAAAGCCTGCTTTCTTAACCTTGGTTAAGATATTGCCAAGACAGCACACAGAGAAAGATCTCAGCTCACAAAACTATTGCTTAAGGTTACCTTCACTGTGATGCTGGTATACATAGTGTGAACACTACCTCTGAAGCCATAAGGGGAAGTGGTTTAGTGGTAAATAAGTAAGTCACAAAGTAATGTATATGAGAAGTTAATAATCTATTTATCTAATGTACTCTTGACTTTACCGCAAGTAAGTCTAGAAATTACTTATAAAACCTACAGGAACATCCAACTTTTGGAGTATTCAATGGTAAAAAAATATATATATAAAGAATATATTTGCTGAGCTATCAAGAATTTTAAATCAACTGCCAAGGATCAGAAAACTTTCTCTTACATCTTATCCTTCTCTCTTCTGGTAATGCACATGATGCATTCTTCCATGGTACTAGCAGTGGGTATAAAACCAATAAAAATGACAAAACAGGCCAAAGGACAACAGAAAGTACAGAAAAGTACAAGATACATTAGAACATTACTGAGAAACAGTAACAGAAATACAAAACATAGAGGAAGAGATTGAGAAAGACAACATATAATAACTCTGGGGAAAAAATACAAAGAGAACAGATTGAAAGCACAATTACTGCAAAAACAGAAAATATATGAGGAGAGAATCATGCAAGGGATGAATGAATAATATAAGACATATCAGTGCATATGCTTAGATCATATACAACAGGACAAAAAATCATTGCTTATGCTTCAAACAACATGTCAGAAGGAACTACTGTCTCACAAAGTCAATCAGCACTGGATGCTTACTTCTGTTTTACTGTCTTGCGAATCCCGATTGTTAATTTTAAGCATCTTGTTCAGCTGGTTTGTGATACGGGGACTAAAATAGCGGATTCTATTTGGGTATTCTATTGCTAAACACATTTGCTGTATTTTTTGTTTCTGTCAATTTATTTTACTGGACTTCACTATTTGAAGACATTTTTCTTGCAAGCATAAATATATTAAAGGATCTTGTAAGGTCTCACATAATATTTCATAATTCTAACATTTTGCTACACCATCTTCTACCTACAACCAGCAAACTCGCAAACCTCACAATAAATTGCTGTGTCTCTTGAGCTTTAAAAATAACCCACTGATTTGTATGTTTACTTTTGGCAAATCACTGATACTACCAATTTGCTTCTATAGGTACTTAGTTAATTTTGTTAATTTTAATAGTACTACATAGATCCATTTTTCACCCAAAAACAAGAGTTCAACATTTGATACTAATTCTTCTCACACAAGCATTTTTATTGTTGTTGATCTACAACAGGTAAATTTTAAAATATTCTTACCCTACTTTTTATTTCTATGCCTTTCTGACAGATACGTTCTTTTACATTTTGGCCTTGTTTCCACAAAAGAAAAGCAGCTCAATAAAACATACTGCCTGCCTCACCGCCACTACTGCAAAAGCAGCCTGTGAGAAAAAAAATAATGAAAGAAAAAGGGTAGAGAAATCCTAGAAGACTCTGTTTTTCATGAATCATACGGAAATTGATAGCGCTTCCTGCATTAAAGTACACAAAAGTACTTCTGCCTGGCTTGTACTTTCAAATGTATCTCATAGGAACACAGGACAATAAGGGCTTTCTACTTAGAAACTGTCACTTAGAATTTTACTTTGGAGTTTGAATGGTACCTGAATTTTATTCTGGGAAATACACATTTACCAATAAACTAGAAGCAATCCACTACTTAAAAGCAGCTCTTAAATTATATTAGGTAAGTGTACTTTTGTGCTGCATATGTGTACAAGTAGCTAAAAAGCTAAAAAGTGAAAATCACTTTGCAAGAGACAGAGTGAGATATAGCTGTAGCCATCATGTACTTACTATTTAGTTGAATCTGATAACTGATACTCTCGTCGTCGGTCATAACATTCCTGAATTCCAGGGTCATTCCATAAGCTTCTTATTGCATCTACATAGGGGTTCTCAAAAGTTGACACCTTCTCTACATCAACTTCCCGCACTAACTGTGCATGAGCCTAAATGAAACAAAGAAAGAAATAAAGTTGACATAATGGCCATCTCACCAATGTGTATACATAATTTGAGAAGTACTATGAGGAAGGTTGTGAAGATGTGGAAAGGTGACCACTGGTAGAAGGAGTTCTAAAATAAAGAAGAGAGGAACCGTTATCTATTTTGTTCATTTAATTAGAACGTTTGTAGATCTTGACATTTTGTTCTTTTCATGTCACCGGACTCTGTCAAACAGAGTACCTACCACCTACTGTACTAGTTCAATAACTCATTAGCAGCTGAATATAGGATTATTGGATAACATGAAGAAAAAAAAGGGTGAAAACGCGAAATATTCAAAGAGGAATATTTTTCCAAAATCTGTATTCATGTGAATGAACTTAGTGATGCTGCAGGAAGGATCACAAATAAGAATGATGAATCATACATGAGTAATGACAAAGTACGTTTGAACCAAGACAAACAGCAGTAGGTATAAAACTGGGACAGAAGATGAATTAACAAATGTGTGTTTTTATTTCAGAATATGTTTACTCCAAGCTACTACTACTTAGATGAAATATATGAGTCTTTTGAAACAAAAAATTACTTAATTAAGCTAATTATAAATAAAATTTTCAATGTTGATTTTTCAGGTACAGATTTGGGGCATATAAAATGCCTGTTTTTAAAATGATAACCAGTTAGCCAACTTGTCTGATTCAGACTCTGAAAAAGCCCAAGAGGTCAGAGGGGAAGGAAGAAACTTTTCTTTCATGGAAATTCACTGTAAAAAGTTCTTCATGCTACCACAAGCATAACAAAACTTACTATTAGGTAAAGCAAAGCAAGATTCTTAGAAAAGCTCTCAAGTTTCAATTTGCATTATAAACAATGGTCATACTATATCACAGAGATTTTTGAAAAGTAAGTAGCCAGTAGGAAATAACCTCTAATAAAAACATCACACTCCTAAATACTGTTAAATTTTACTTAAGCACTATGGAGACAAAGAAGAACAATTTCTAAATTGTACAGGAAGAATTAAGCACATAATTTTTGTGAAGCTGGATTTATTTATTTATGTAACTTTCTTCTATCTTATCAAGCTTGGTTAGTGCCTATTCTGTACTCTTTGGCCTTTGGATGCTTCCAGAAGAATGATGTCCCAAATATTTACTCACTGACTGACAAATTGATAGAACAGTATATTCTGATATTGATTCTTTTTCTATATACTTGAGCTCTGAAATTATAGCCAAGTGCTATCAAAATGCTAACAGAGTTGAAAGACTAACTATTCAACTACTGCTCTTTAGCTTGAAAATTTCTCATAACTGACGTACTTCCCCAAAAAGGTACTCAAGTACTCAACATCGGTAGCAGAGAAAATGATAAATAATTACTGTATTCAGTTGCCAACCTAGACTTACACTGCAGTTGTCCAAGGCATTGCATTGTTTCATTTATCAGTTCTGTTTGTTCTGCCATTCAACTAATATGACTTGGGACCACAGTTAAATCTTATGAAATAAACTATGCTATATGCCAGTAAGTAATATCCATCAGAAAATGAATTCAGCTTTTAAAATGATAAATACTCCCACAGTGAACACTGCTTCTGTTTCCTTTGAGTAGACTCATGAGAGCTTGTACTCTACTGTTCCACAGCTCTTCACAACAGTGCTATTTCTTTTTAAAAAGTAGAATCACAGAATATCCTGAGTTGGAAGGGATCCAGAGATCACACAGTCCAGCTCCTGGCTCCAAAGAGAACCACCTAAAAATCAGACCATAAGTCTGAGAGCATTGTCCAGACAGGTAATGTCCCTTCATACCAATTTCAAGTCTTTACTAAGCCTCAGCTGTGTCTTCTTGTTCCCATAAGTGCTATGTTCTCCTGTGGATAATGTTTTTCACTTTGAGAATCTTTGTCATTCAGTATCTTTTCCTAGCTTCTATACAGATCACTCTTACAGTAAGCAAAAGCCTGCATACCACCCTCATAAGAAAGCGCACCACAGAGGTGACGTGTTTCACACCTGCTGTGACAGCACTATGTCTAGGAATGTGCCCATTGAGTTCATCCTTCATTGGCCCGACAAGATGCAAGTCAGAACATACCAAACACAGACTATGCAGTCTGGTAGGGCAGTCCAGCCAACACTGGCAATGTGCTTCATGGTCTTCAAACTGGAATGGGGCCTGGCATTATCATGTTACAAGGCTGTCTTCTTCTCTGGCCTACATCTGGAAGCTCAAGCATTCAGTGTAGTCAGTCATGATGCAGCACTCAGAGCAGACAATTTGTTTGGGCTCCAGGAAATCCAGAAGCATCAGCAACTGCCTCTTTCCTACCCCATGGTGCACATCTCTTTACAAACTGAGAGCTGTGTCTTTGGTAAGGAATTCATATGTTGTCACTGCATGGATAGTCACTTTGACTCCAGCTCACAGTGGTAACATAATCACCAGTAATGATGCAATCCAAGAACACCTTCAGCCTTCTCTTGATTCTGCAGGTCCTGACAAATTTGTGTATGATGTTCCTTTGGTTTCTGTGTGTAAAGAATTACTTCATAATACCTAGTCTAAAGCTACCTTATTTGAGTTTAAAGCCATTTCCTCCTGTCCTTTCACTACAAGCCCTAATAAAAAGTCCCTCCCCAGCTTTCTTGTACGTCTTTCTTCAGGTACAGAAAGGCTGCCATAAGTTGCCCCAAGGAACCTTCTTGTCTCCAGGCTGAATAGCCACAACTCTCTCAGCCTGTCATCCTAGTGGAGGTTCTCCAGTCCTCTGATCACCTTTGTGGCCCTCCTTTGGACCCACTCCAACAGTTTGATGTCCTGTTTGTGTTGGGAGCCCAAGAACTGGACTCAGTACTTCAGACCGGGTCTCATGAGAGCAGAGTAGGATAGAACCACCTGCTTTGACCCACTGGTCACATTACCTTTGATGCAATCCAGGATACTGCTGGCCTTCTGTTGGGCTGCAAGCACACACTGCTAGCTCATGTTGAGTCTTTCAACAAGAAAGATCTCCAAATCCTGCTTAAGGTCTGCTGACAAGCCATTCTCCACCCAACTTGTATTTGTGGCTGTAATTGTCTTGGCCCAAGTACAGGACCTTGTTGCTCGGCCTTCTGAACCCTTGTGAGGTAGAGAAGTATGAATTTAATGCAGAAGAAGAACGTGGGGTGTTAATATCATTACTTACTGGCTTTAGTTTCCTTCCACTAACATCAGCAGCCAATTGCAAATATTATTTTTGATTTTAGCACTCAAATTACTTGCAAGAAAATGTATCTAAGGACTAATCAACACCACAGGCAACCCCATCTCGATCCATCTCAGTTCCTCAGGTGTCCTTGTCCCCACATAATAGATTTGAGGGAACTTTAGGGAGCGGTATGTGAGGATATAGTAGGAAGTCCACCTGCGAGGGGGTCTAGAGTGAGGCAGTTGACTCCTCATCTTGAGATTGCTTCCATAAAGAGGGAAAAGAAGGTGACTGCCATAGGCATCTTCCTTCTGAGAGAAACAGAGGTCCCTATATGCTGGTCTGACTCTACTCATAGTGGAGTGTGCTGTCTCCCTGGGGCAGGGAGGGCAGAGATAATTCTAGGAACTTCCTAAACTTCCTAGTCTAATTTATACCTCTGATTATTATCCCTTATCGATAGTTCAGGCTGGCAGTGATGGAGGTGCTAAGCCCTAGGATTTAACAAATGAAGGGATGGGCAACTTGGGGACAGTACAAAAAAGTTGTCAGGATGTGGAAGGAGAAAATTAGAAAGGCAAAAGCCCAGCTTGAACTTAACTTGGCTGCTGGGGTAAAAGCGAACAAAATCTTTTTCACAAACATATTGACAGTGAGAGAAGTGCTAAGGAGAATCTTACGCCTTTACTATGAAATGGTGGGGAATGGAGGATAAAGAGAAGGCTGAGGTTCTCAATGCCTTCTTTATGTCTGCCTACAAAAGTCAGACCAGTTATCCTCCTGATTTGGGAGTCTCAGATAAGGAGAAGAATAAATGTATAAATTCAGTTGGAAACAATGAAGAGACCTTCTACTCCACCTGGACTGCCACAAGTCCATGGGGCCAGATGGGATCCACCTGAGGCTGCAGAGGGAGCTGGAAAAGGTGACTGCCAAGCTGCTTTCCACCATCTATCAGCATTCTTGGCCAATCAGAGAAGGTCCCAGGAGACTGGAGGCTTATCAACCTGACTCCCACCTACAAGAAGGATTGTAATGAGGATCTGGAGAGCTAGAGGCCTGCCAGCCTGACATTGGTATTGAGGAAAGTTATGGAGCAGATCTTGAGGAAGATCATATGGCTTGTAAAGGACAACAAGATTAGGTCCAACCAGCATGGGTTCATGTAAGGCAACTACTACTTGATCAACCTCATCTCATTCTATGACCAGATGATTCACCTAATGGATGAGGGAAAGGATGTGGATGTAGTCTACCTAGATTTCATCAAAGCTTTTGACACTGTCACAGTATTCTCAACAGTGACTGCAACCAGTGTTTTAGTAAGCTTGGAAAAAGGTTCAGTCTTTTTATTCCTTTTGATATAATTCCTGTAATTTTTTCAGAGTGGCACTCTATGAGTAATTTATGTAACAAAGGATCAGCAGAAATGCAGTCCATTTCAAAAGAAATTACTCTGGAATTCTACATCCACAAGAGAAAGAAGTATACTTGAGATGCAGCAGGCAAGGTTGTTTTTTATTGACAGTTTCTGAGAACTAATTGATAGTTCTGAGAACTAATTGATACTAAGATGCTCATTTAAAGAATTATCTCACATAGCAAAGATCATCTTAACATATTTTTCTGTTTTGTAGAAGGATTTCATACCCCATTAGAAGAAGTCTGTGGCTGTAAGTGTTTGGTGGTCAATAACTAAGGGATGAGTCATAGAGAAGTTAGATTTGAATGCTAAAGTTTACACTGAGTGCAATGGCTTGTGACCAGATCCAAGAAGTCTAGAAGCTGAATCAAACTTCTTAC